TAATATTAGTTAAGGATATTTTTGATATTTTTTTAAAGTGAAAGTGATTTGTTCAGATTAATTGTTAGCACTGATTTTATGACATTTTAGTACCTATAGGTAGGTACATATTTTATAAAAGCAATAGTATAATATTTAATTCGTTATTATTTTACAATCACTTCAATTTTGTTTGTGTGATCCTGAAATAGTTGACCAATTTGAATTAAGGCTTCCTGGTGGCTGGGTTGTCACTATATAGTTTAAGTAGAGTAAATTCATTTTTTAACTATCGAGATAATAATATAATCTATGCTTTGTAAAACACAGGCATGATTTTTATGTTATTAGCTATGGTTTATATTTTTATTTCAAATTATATTTAAGATTCTGAGCGGAGCGATGAATGTATTGATTTTACAATAGTGTGTGTTCTGTGAAATTTATAAAAAGTTCAAATTTTATAAATAAGAATTTAAAATTTAAAAGAAGGTTACACGTAAGTTGGTTATTCTGTAACCAAAAAATATAAAAACACAATTTTTTCATACCTAGTTATTTAATGTTCAAATTTAGACGAAATTAGATATTTAAACGAAGAAGAACGATTTTAGTTTTGAGTAATATTTTAAAAATATTATACGTGGATACTTGAAACTTCTAAAGTATATTATTATGAATTACTATATACAAATACGATAAAAAATAAAAAAATAATAATAACTGTATTAATAAAAACAATATAAATATAATATAAAATATCTGATGCTGACAAATCGTTTCCGCTTAGAATCGTTTTTCGTATACAATTAAATTATATCATTGATTTCAAATTTAACACCATCCATTACAGTAAACCACTTGTAAGCTACTGTACAACAGAGCGACTTACACTTACCCAATTGTATTTGATTTATTTCGGTTTCAGTTTAGATATGCAAAAACATCATTAGAATTTTTCTGGTTTTAGTTTGGTTTTTAATTTTGTAAAGACTCCTCCTGGGTATAAGATCGATTTATATTTTTGTTCAATACATTTTTTTTTTTTATAATGTAACTAATAACTAAATGTATCCATATTTTTATTGTTATAATATTATAAATAAGGCAATAGACAAGGAGTACCTTGCTTCATTTGATTATTATTTAAATCTAAAAAATATATTAGATTACGGTCAGATTAAAAACCATAGCTTGTTATCAGAAATTGATTGTATCATTTAATAATAATAATAATAATAAACAATTCACATGGATACAATAATATATTATTATTAGATTATTAATTTATCATAAAATGTGGTATTTGTTTCGTAGTTCTTAATACTCGTATAATACAGCTAGAATATAATTTAAAAAAATAACACAATTTATAACAAACCATTGTTTACTAACCAATTATGTTTCAGAACTAGGACTATAGGAGCAAATACATAAAAAAAAGTAATTTTTCATTAAACCACTCATATAACTATATAACTTTTAATTATTTCATATGAATTAATTTAATATGACAATAATAATTTTTTTAAGTATTTTTCAGAAAAAAAAAAATCGTTTTTTTATGCTGTTTTTATAGTAATTCAGTATATAATTTATTATAAACACACACAACAATATGAAAAAAAGTATTATTATACGTTCTGAAATTGTTACAAGATATCTTAAGCTCTATGGAAAATCAAACAATAAAATAAAACTATTTTTACAAATCACGTATCCCATCGTAATAATTATTGTGTATTTATGTTGAATAATAACCTTTACCTAGTGGATTGGTCCCGGAATTTTCATCGTGAATTTGAATATTGTAACTTAAACTTCAAAAGATCAACCAATAAATTGATTTCAAATGAATTTTTTTGACTTGTATTTATTTCGAACTTAAATAAAAACAATAGCACATAATATGCCTGTACTTAAATTGAATTTCGTTACTTGTGAAATAATTTCAAGCAACTCATAGTTACGAGTGAAAAGTAGTTTTTCTTTAACATGATTCGCAATCACAATGATTTGAGCTACAAGACTTCCATTTTACTGGGTTTCAATCACGGTCATTCTCTCAGTAGCCTTTTAGCATCATACGACCTTATTCTCTCAGATAGTGATACAAAAATTGCTCTCCCTGGGGACACAGGTAATGTGTCCTACTGCATTACTAGAGGATATATAAAGGATTTAATGTATGGTATTCCTTTTCCTCGAAAATATTTTTATTCTTTAAACAAACAAAAACTCAAACTCGATATTTTGCTCCATTACACTCTACTCATAAGTACTATCTTTATCCTGTCAACATGTTGATAAGACCTGTTGAAATTAAACTTCCTTCTCCCCCATAGTGTACATTAATCCGGGATATTTCACACGTATAGTAAACGAAAATAGTTATATTCGTATGTGATTTATGACAAAAACAATAAATATTGAGTAATACATCGATAACATAATAAATAAAAATAAATACAATTGTGTTTATATCTAAAGTTTTTGATTAAATGATTAATATGTATAATATTATAATTTACCTATATACCATTTTTAAAATTAACAATACACTTCACATAGATAAAATATATTGAAATATGAGACATAGCTCTCAAAATTATGTCAAGTTTAATCCTTTTTTTATCGGTGCATAATAATTACAGCCCCAAAAATATTGTCTTATAGAACTGTAAAAATATTACTATTAGGTTTATTAAAAAAAGTATTTCCAACGTGCTTGTATTTTATTCAACTTATTTGAAACATATTGAAACGATTTATATTTTAATTTATTATTTGTTAAACATGCAGCACGTTATTCATAGATAAAAATACCAATGAGTAAAAGCCATCGAAAAAAAATAAAGAAAAAATAAATGTTTGTATCCCTTCCCCCATCTGCTGTATTTATTTATATTGAACACATTTTGAAACATTTAATTGCCAGTTAAACTGCCAATTGATTGAGTATTTGTCAGTGAGATTGTTAATTATTTCTATATTATAAATTGTATTATTTATCAACAAGCAACATCAACAATTAGAGTTAAAAATATCTGTGTCGATAAATACTTTATTAACACGGGTTCATAAAGAACGAAAACATATTAATATTATGTAAATTGTTTAAAGTTTATCTTTTTTTTTTTGATTTTTTTATATTAAATAAAAACGTAGTTTTTACTGTTGATAATATCGGAGTCCTAATTTATAATATTGTATGTACAATAATATAAGTAATTTTTGATGTAAGATTTATGATTCATATAAAATATGAAAAATAGTTAAGCATAATATTATAGACAATACACATTATAAAACAATGTTAGTTTTTATGGCAATGATATTGTATTTATAAAGTACATAATAAAAATTACAATTTACAGAAAATTATTATTTTAAATTCTTTAAATCATTTTTTATTATTTATCATATGTACTGTTTCAAAATAGTTTTTACATTGTATATTTAGTCGACTTATTTTTATAGACTAATAAATTTTAAATACCTATGAAACTGAAAATTATTTAGCAACTGATAATTAAATAGGTTGCTGTAAGCGTACTTATAGAGCTATGTCTCCTCGGTTGGATTAAAATCAAAAAAGTTCAAATTTACCTACCTATAATGTTTATATTATAAGCTAGCTAACAAATTTTTATTTAGAAACAACATCCAAAATACATCATATTTATGTATAATATATCTACAATCATAGATAATAAAGATATGGATATTATGCCACGTCTACGTTAAATATATTTGAATCCACGGTCCCGGAGGGGAAGGCAAATGAGACCTTTTTATATTGATAGTCGAAACTCGATAAAGCCACATAGGTATACTTTATTTTCCCCTCAATTGTTCCCCTTGATAAGAAACGGTCTTATGTCCTATCTATATCTTTACTATCTATGTCTACAACGAATATAATTATCTAATAATATTTAATAACTTCTATGGAATATATTTTTCCAACACATGAATAAAGTTAAAAAAAACAATAAACTAAGGTGAATACTTTGTAGTATGATATTAATCAGATAGGTAGGTACTAAATATGTTTAAATATGAATATAAACTTAAACTAAACAATTGATAAAGTAGCTAGAATAACTATTCTACAAACATTTAATAAAGCATTAACTCGATAAGTACTTAATATAATTTTTATATTTACTTTTCTAAAAATTTTTAAACCACGCAATTGTTTTATCTAATTATTAAACATAAACAAGGATAATGGGTAGACATAACACTTATTATATCTTCACTGAATTGTCCAATATCTGTTTTAACCTTAATTTGCAATTGAATCATTGACAAGGAAAATGTTTGAGACACCAAATTAAGGTTCACTTTAAACACTACTTAATTCATTAATTTATTGTTTGGGCAACGAATAAATATTATAAACTTAATGAATAGAGTACAATGAAACATGAAAATATTCTTAAAATTAAATCTCGGGCGACAGACATATTTTAGTTGGAGTTGTAAAAGGTTACCCATTCCTCGGATCTGTTAATTATTGTATTAGATGGACAATATATTCTATAAATTCATATTTGTAAGCTTCCGGTATAATTTTTGAATTCAATTGAATGTGAGTGTACGGTTTAGGTAAGACGTGAGAAACTCGTGTCGGTACACACGTATTTTTTAAAAATTATTTTAATGTGTTTTTCGTACTTATTATTTTGAGTGAGTAATCGTAAAACGACCTTATACAGAGTATATACTGTAATAATTCGTACGCGTAATAATTCTGGATGTCTGTCGTCCGTGTGAACGAAAATTGTTTTAGTATTATTATTTTTATTGTTATAAGACTGGCGTTAAAATAAGACTGAGAGCATGTTGGACAGTTAGAGTATATTATAGGTAGGTAAATCGATACATAAACGTTTAGGGATACAGTTGGAGAAGAGAGAGATGAAATATTTCGATTTTTTTTTTAAATCGAGGAGTGTGATTTATATTATAATGACATATTTTTTTATTATATTAACATTATTATTTAGAAATGTTTATTTTTTGTCGGAGCCGTCGTTCTTTTCGTCATTCAAGTGTCCGTGGACCCTTGCCTGTATTTTATTAGCCGCTTGCACCAACTCTTCTGCTTCAGCAGCGTCGTCCGGCGTGGACACTTCGATCGGAGTAGCTGGTCCCGACAAAGTGGTAGTCGGATTCGTCGCTAGATTTCCAACCTTGTCAGCGCCACCGATGTCCTTGTCATCGGGCTCGAAAACTTCGTCGTCTCCGGTCTGCAGCTGATCGTCGTCATCGTCGTCTTCCTCGTAAACACCAATACCACTGACTCCTACACCTGAATCAACATGAGCGTCCCCAATATTACCGTCACCACTTCGACCATTACCATCACCACCGTGATCACCACCCCGATCACTATCAACTACGCCGTCACCAACGTCGCCGGGGACACCGGAAACACCATCACCAACACTAACAACGGGACTTGGCCCGTCACCACCGTCATCACTGCCTTCTTCACCTCGGCCATCGCCAGCACCGCGTGGCTCACATCCGTACTCTTTGAGCGGAGCATATGTGACGGACACGACCGACTTTTGATCGTCATCCGACCAACATTGACTCTCGTCCGGGGTAGTTGTGGCCGTGGACGGGGCCGCGTTCTTCAGGGACTGCCTGACCCGGTAGCCCCGGAAGCCCGCTTGGATCTTTACCGCGGCCGCGTTCACAGCCTCCACGTACTTCCGGGCTCTGAAACCACGGTACACCGCCTGTATGGTGGTAGCTGCCCGGTCATCGGCTCCATTGTCCTGCGCTACAATTATCGCCGCATCCACCGATCCGTCGGACGATCCACCGTTGGCCGTCGATTTCATGACGGCGTCTATTTTGTTACCGGGACGATCGTTTTCTATCCCAACGTCACCTAAAAATGAAAAAAATATTAGATTATATTATTACGCACAGATTTGTATTCAATATTTCTTGGCAAAAAGTTTTTTTTATATTATCACTGTATTTGAAATCCACGATTATGTTAGTATGATTGGTCGTATTTTTTAGCTTACAACCGAAACATGGAGGTTAGGTTAAATTGTTATTCAAATATAGTCATGCTTGTCAAAATGTTTAGCTTGCTGAAGGAGTTTACTGTAATATTATAGTGGGTGTAAGATAACAGAGGATGTGAATCACTCTATATAGATTATCAGGTATATAGAACACTCAATAGCAGACAATTTTTTTTTTTTTTAAATTACTGAGATGATTTACTTGGCATATTCATAAGTAACAAAATATTCATATTATTGATGTAAACTAATCGTCAGATAAGGGCATAGAGCAGCATTAATACTACAGAGTGACTGATCAGACAACTTGCGTCATCGTGTCTTTCCATCAAGTCAATATTAGAAAATGAGGTGATGGTACACGGAATCTGTATATTAATATTATCAAAATAATATTATCTGACACCGAACAATCTGTGCTACGATCAAATACAAGACGTTCGTACAAAACGTCATATGAATTATAGTAAAAAAATCAATCAATTTCAAAAAAGTATAATGGTAATAATTAAGGCATGGAAGTTATATAGAAGTCAAGGCCGGTAAAACATACATACATAGTTTATTATATCTAAAATATGCAAACAAAAATATTAAATACAAAAAAAAAAATCAATATAATGACTTCTTAGATAACTATTAGTTTTATACTCACTAAGGAGATCATTTTAACATTTTTTTTATTGTTATTTAACTATTATGTTAATGCAATTTGGTGACCAACTGGTTTATCAAATTTAATAATAATATGTCATCGTTGCGTATGTATACCCTCAGACTGTAAAAAAAACATTTATTTATCAAAAAAAAATTATCGTAGGCAGTGGAAATATTGGATTTTTGCTACTTTACTCAAAGCTTAAAAAAAATAAAATATCTTTGTATACCTATGTTAAACAATTATGTTTTAAATAAGTACGTAATAAAATTAAAGCGTAATATTATTTATTTAGAAAATAGAAAATGGGCAAGTAGGAACTATAAATATCAATATGCATATTTTATTTTATAAAATGTAGGAATTTAATATATAGCTCGGTCTGTTACACATCAAACATTCAAAAGCATGTAGAAACTATGCAACTCATGTAATGCCTGAGTAATAATAATTGTAATTTTGTTAATATTAGTTATTACGAAGGATATAATATTAATAATACAATTTATTAGCATTGGTTAGTAAGCGAATACGTGAAGATGATTTTCAAGCATGTTTAATATAATTGTACCAAAACAAATATAAATTAAATTAAAATGTTCCAATCAAAAATATTAAGATGCACCCTGGTTTGTACGAAATACTCAAACATAAAGCACTGACCACCGATTTCAAGCACCCTCCAATCAAAATGTATAATTTATATTGATATGCTTTCAATTAATTTCTTCGATTATATAAAACATTCCAGCAGTCTGAAATACTACCCACCCAGACATCATTCCTACCTTTCGTCGGCTCAAATGTGGACGCCCCCACGATGTTCTTATATAATAAAATAAAAATTAATAATATTATGTGAATTGTATGTATACAAGAATAAGATAAAATAATGTTTAAAACAAAGACACCAGTGTTAATATTTAATTATGATATATTAAACATATGTCAATTATATAACTATTATTATAAGTATTTTACTGTTTATTATCATCATTATGTAAATGTCTTTATTTTATTCCTTATGTTAAGAAATGTATTTATAGAGTAAATTATCACTACCTATTCAAGTTTAACAGACTAAGTCAGAGAAACTTAAAACTACTTAAATAATAACGAATTGTTAAACTGTTATAACTTCAGGGCAATGAGGTATTCAATTAGGCCAATTATTATAGACTACCAGTCATCATACATTTTAAGACCAAATAAATATACTTTGACAATAAGCCGGTATGTTAACAATATTAATATAATTTGAAAATTAAACTCTATACCTGTATTATAAAAATGGACATTAAAACCGTTTGATACACAGGTTAAGCAAAAAATTAAGATATTATACTCAATTTAATACACAATAATGTGACTATCTTATTTTAATGTTTTTTTTATACATATAAAAATTGTATAATATAAAAATAAAAACAAGTATCGTACTGGTATAATCTTTGTGCCAATAATGTTCACTCTGTCTTACAAATTCGTAAAGATTATTAAAATTATTCAACGTTTGAAATTAATATAATAATCTTAAATACGATTCGTATTATAATTTTAAAATATAGTAGACTCACAAATTTTCCAATTATGTTTATAAATAAATAGATACATGTCTAATAGTACCTATAATATGACGTTATGATTTATTACGTTTCAAAAGTCAATGATTTTTGTATTATGAATTTATAAATGTATTCGTTTTTCTTGTCAGATATATTAAAATAATATACATTAATCCAAAGTTAGGTATAGGAAGTCATTTTTAATTTTGGAAAATAGACAGAAGTGTAGGTACTACTTACAATTTTAATTTCTAGTTTTATTGAATTATATAAGTAAAAATTAAGTTTTTTGATTTTCAATTTGCAATGCAAATGTAAATATTAATTATACAAGTTATACATATTTTAAAACTCCACTATAGTGTATAAGATATATTAATAAAAAATACAGCTATCAGCTAATACCTTTGATTCATAATAATTATTACATTTTTTTAATTTTTGTGATGATCTTAACTAAAATAAATATTAAATTTTAAATTAAAAATAATCGTGAAGTGCAATTTACATTTCGGAATATAAAATTATTAAGTAGGTAGTTAATAATTAATATTTTGATAATAAAAATAATTAAAATGCTAGTTTATACGGTATAGTATATATTTTACACGAATATACACTGTGTAGTATTATGCGCCGGTACTTAAGGTTAGGAATTATTTCACTGGATAGCGCTAATGGTTTCAAATGTGCTTGGATATTGTGGATTATACACGATTTTTCAAACTATAAAATAATTACATTTATGTTATACATTATAATACATTGAATATTACTGAACATTTACTAGTTAATATTTATTTTATATTAGATTACATAAATAGGTAATTGTCTTGGTATCTATTTTAAGATTACTTATTATGTTCAATGCACTCAAAATGATAATATGTTTTCAAGAATTTAAAAAATGCAAATACTGCAAATGTTCTATGTTTTTGCATGTAAACAAATAGAAAAATACCTATATGTGTTTTGTTTGTACGGTATAAGTGTGATGACATCTCGGCGGCGAATAGTGGTGAGACATTTTTTAGACCCGTGTAGAATGACTTAAACGAAACGGAATCTAAACAAACGTATTATTGCAGAAATAACAAACATACCTAAAGAATAAAATAGCTTGAACAAAACATAGTGTTTGATGTTTGGAATTTCACAATTCCCATAAAACGACAAGTCTCATAAAGTTCGTTATAAGCTACACGAAATATCGGCTAGAAAGTAATATACTTATATAATATATATTGTACCTAGGTCATAATATCGGTTATCGGAAATCTTTGGCCCTGGAAGGACGATAGACAGCTCTTTTTACATTTCACACCATATCAACAGCTAGCTTGACCGTATCATATTAATATATTATGCACACCACTTTATTTGGTACATTAGTTAGAGAGATTTATAACTGTTTTGGGTGTCCAGTGAATAGTAAAACACTGACGTGCAGAAAAAACGTTGGGGCTATTTCAATTTTAAAGTGATATATTCCTCAAGTAAAACCAGATTTACCTTTTTGTAAACAAGGTTGAGTAACCTATACCTTATATTGAATTCGAACCGATCGGAAATGTTACTCCTGCGTTGGTCGAACTTATAATCATACTATTTTTAACATTACGCGATCAAATTAAATGTTTTAATGTCGAATACATATTTTAATGAAACAACAAACTATTTTGTTTATGTTTTAAGTCTATATTATAAATTTAATTGAAGTTCGAATAGGTAAGTATTAAATCATGGATAGATCATTAGTATTAGGTATTTCTACAGGGAATGAAGTTTTGTCATTATTTAAACTTTCATTAACACCTTTAATGTCTATCACCTACTTTATGGCGGGTGAGCACCAATTTCAGTTGTTGCAAAACTTGTGAAAGTTAACTGTACCGTTCACTGTTTTTTAGTTTTACTATAATTTTTGAGAGGTATACAATTTTAAGATTCATGCCTATAATTTGTCAATATTGCACAGAATTAAATAAATTAAAAGTATATACGTATTTTGAAATAGACACCTTCGATAAGTGAATTGGACCGCAATCGTATTCTACTCCATAAATATGTCATAGAATTGACGACTGTGTGTTACTATAAAATAATAATGAATACCTAGAAATTATTAAAAGCTTTATTTAATTTTTAACCGAAAAATATTTTTAAACTTGAGTACCTAATTATTAGAAAAATGTATTATTTTGGATAGCCATAAAACAATTATTCTATTTTCAGAACAGTTAAAAAAAATAGTTCGTATTTATAATATTATAAAAAGGGATTTGAAACGTTATAATAACGTTATGATTATAACGTTATATTTGACAAAAAAAGATTGAAATTTGTAAATTTATTATAACGAAAGCGATAATAAAAAATAATTAAATACCACAAAACAAAACATAACGATTAACTAAATATATTATACCTATATCATTGAACAAAAAATATCGCAAAACGAAATATTTGAATATTTATTTATTTAAAATTTCTATGGTTTCGTAGAAACATTTATTTCATGCAAACAATCTAATAATGTATTATATTATGTTCTGTATACGAGAAATTACCTACCCGAATTAGTTATTATTTTTAAATTTTATAGGTATTAACACTATTTTAAATAACGATA